TGTACTAAAATAGTAAGTGATGCCTCATACAATGATATTGTTTCAGCAATGTGAGCCAGTAATATTTAATTTTTAAACTGTTCAATCTGGATGAGCTTCAAGTTCGGGACAAGTTCAGCCTGAACCCAGTTTGTTTACAGTTCGCCAAATAGGTGTATTAAATGGCCATATTTGGCCAGTTCACCCCCCTGACCTGCTGAATATCCTGATGCTACATCTAGAAGTCATACATTTACAGCTTGTTTCACATTGTAATCCTGAGTGATATCCTTGACCAAATATGGTTATGACTCTCATTTGTGACAGGATTATCAGCGGGAGTGGACTGTCATGCCGCAGGGTTGTGCTGATGTTGGGGTGTCATTCATTATGAATTAGGAATCTACTCTGGGGGACAATATTTATTTTGCAAAGTGTCTGTGTGTTTATTATTTGTGAAAGAGTAATAAGGGGTACAATTTACCTCCTACTCATTCACAAAGAGGGAAGGCCTGATATCTGGGGGCCACATATGTTAAAGGGGCCTTCCAGACTAAAAAAAAGTCCTCCTTCTTAGACCCCCACATCACAATCAGGGATGTGGGGATGAGGCCCAAGTCCACATCAACATGAGGACAATTTGCCTTGTGAGGGGACGGGAAGCTTTTTGCCCCCTGCATTGTACGCAGCCAATGTTGAGGGATAACGGTTTGGTGCGGTAGAGGAGGAGACTGCACGCTCTTTGTCCTCTGTTTCCTTGCCAGACAGGCTGCAAGCCAGACCCTAAACAAGGCATGCAGTCTAGATGGCCAGGGAAGGAGTGCAGCAAGTGTATGCTATCTCCCTCCTTAACCATACCAGGCCACATGCCCTGAAAAAAAAATGGCATGGAGTCCCTTAGAGGTCTTTTATGGATTTTAAGGGAGACCCCAAGCAAAAAATAAAAAAGGGCAATGTTTCCCCCTCTAAATCCATACCAGACCTTGGAAAGGATAATGGTCTGGTAAGGACTTTGAGGTGGACCCTTGGAAAGAAAACAAACAAGACAGCATGGGATCTCCCAAAATCTATACTGTCCTGTCCCCCCCACCAAACCATACCAGGCCATATGCCCTCGACATTGAGAGGGTACCATGCAGGAAAGGGTGGTGCAAAGCTTTCTCCCCCCTGAATGCACATTGTCCCCATGTTGATGTGGGCAAGGGCCTCATCCCCACACCCCGGGTCCTGTGGATGGGACATACTGGAATCCTAAAATCTGGAACTCCACTTTAAGATAACGGGGCTCCCAGATACCAGGCCTTCCCTGCTACTTGAATGAGAAAGGTGTACATACTGTAGGTTCCCTTGCTACTCAACTCCAAAAATCTGTCACTTCTCTGACTGCTTTTCCCACTGCAACTTCTATCACAAATTACAGTTCCAGGTCAGGCCAGGAGTAGTTAGAGATGAGGATGAGGACTTAACTGCTGAATTTTCAAAAACAGTCAACTTTTGCATACAAGTGTGCTTGAAATGGAGCAGATTATGAAGGTACCACTACATTTATATGCTTAGGGAATGGAAATGTTAACTTGAAGAAACTGTAAGCTAGTCAAGGTGCTTAACTGTGAGACATAAAAGAAACATTTTCTGCGGGAAAAAAAGCCTGTAAAACATGTTATATTTTGGCACAGTTTTGAACTTTGCCAAACGAGTCATCAAAGCAAACACCTTCTATAGACAGTAAATACAAATATAGATATATAAAATACACCATCTGCCAATATACAATCCTGTGTCAGTAAGACTATGCATTGATGAGTGATTAGATGTTGTTATACAGTTGTGTATTATGCGTTGGGCAAAGTATTGAAGTTGTACTTCCAGGCTTTACAACAGAATATATGGAGAAGCAACCAATCAATATTTTCTTCAGCAGCCTGCTTACCAGACAGTGAGAAAAAGTTTGTTTCAGCCAGGGTGTTAATGTACCAAAGGAGATTAATTGAAAGCATCAGCCAAGCTCCCCGTGCAGCTCTGTTGACACCACACATGCCTCATTACATTCGGTTTTGTAAGTGACATTCTCAGCAAAGAGGTTGGGGGTTAAAAGCAGAACCTAATGATCCTTTAGATGCTGGTAGACATTGCACGTCAGTAACAACCAGCCTGAACACTTCTCATAATCCAATTAATCAACAATTTAATAGCTGTGGTAAAATAGATATATTGGGTTCCGTTAAGTACATTATGGCTGGTTGCTATAAGATACAATTTTCTCCTTGTACTGTCTGTTTATTTGTAAAGCTTGTAAATGTCACACTGTAGTTGGCAAACTAGAGTTATATTTAATTTCTAACAGAAATTAATTAGTGACTACATTTGAATCAATTATGCAATTGATTCAATAAATATTTGACTGGGTGACTGTGGACCTGCAACAATCTATCTGCAGACTATCACTGACCCATGAACAGACATTTGAGGAAGGGTGCATTAGATGATTAGAACGTTGTTTCTGGAAAAGTAGAGTCGCCCACCCAAATCACTAACAAAGAAACAGACTACAAAACACAGAGCAGGCACCACCTCCTAGTGCAGTATGTTTATTGACCAAATAATGAAAATAATAAAAGAGTAAAAAGGTTCTGCTCACTATTCCTAAAGGAAACCAGGCATATCAATAACAGAGCCCGATGGTCCAAAAACTCTGTATAGCGGTAGGGCCTAACATGTTGTAGGATAACAACAACAAGACTTTGCTCTGAGGACGGGGTTTGTTACCCTGAAATGTGATAGCAGGCCCCCCTGTTGGGGTGCACCTACCACTATACAGCGTTCTTGGACCATCAGATTCTGTTATTAATATGCCTGGTTTCCTTCAGGAATAGTGAGCAAAACCATTTTACTCTTTTATTTCATTATTTGGTCAATAAACATACTGCACTAGGAGGTGTTGCCTGCACTGTGTTTTGATGCATGTTGTCAAGATTCCAGTGACTCCCTTGTTGAGATGGCAGCCCCATGGTTCCTAGCATTGGCAGAGTGAGCACCAGTCCCATTGGTTTGCGCCTGCCTGAATCTTGCCTATTTTTCTGGAGAAACCTAAACAGATTCTGGCTCAGTCAGCAGATGGATGTAGTGCAAGTGTGAAAGCTGTGCTCCGTTTACTCCATAGAAAAGGGACAACTGGCTGATAGTTGCAAATAACTTTTCTTCTACTTTCTTCTGGTTATCAGAAGTGCTCATTGCTTCACCTTCACATAGTTAAAGTGTTGCCATGGAGAATGCCCCACCCAGCATGGAAGGTACCGCACGTCACTGTCACAAAGTTGTTCACACACCACGGGAACATTGGGGTCTATTCACGAAGCAGCCGAAGGATCTAGCCATAGCTTCGGCTGATCCTTTGACTAGGTTCGGCCCCAGGACCCCTTCGGTTCAGTAGATTCCCTATTCCCTATAGCCCGTACAGCTCCGGAAGTTGGCCGAGCAGCACAGTCGAGCCGAAGGCATATGCCTCGGATCGACTGAGCCTCGCTGAAAGCTGAAGCTGGCCGAATCGAGCAGAGTAAAACTTTCCCTGTTTTTTTTTTTTATTATTCTGACATGGAGCATTTGGCTGCGGTCAGAATAATTAAAAAAAAAACAGCAGCAGAGGGCGGTGCAATAGCTAGTTTGCTATTGCACATTGAAATAGCCAATAGGAATTTAGCAATGCATTCCTATGGCGAATTTTTTTTTTTTGATGGCAGCAGAACCGTCCGGCCAATAGAAAACAGTTGGGCGGAGCTAGCTGTCACTGCTAGCTCCGCACAATCGTTTTCATAATCCTGTAGCAGCACTAGTGTGAACCTAGGCTAATGGTGGTATAATAAAGCACTATATGACCACATTCTAACTGCATGAACACACACAAGTATACAAGAGAACTAAAAGACCACAATATGATCAAAAATGATAAAATATTGTTTAGTTAGCTAAGTAAATTATTAAGTTATTAAAGTATATCTATATTCAAATTTTTTTTTACATTTTTGATAGAGTGGGGAAGGATTTGAACTTGTAGAGAATGTCCCTGGTAGGGAAAGTTTCCACATTCTATCCAAAACTAAAACAAGTTTTGGGTATAGACACTTTAAATCTTCTTTTACTATACTGATTAAGTATTTTCCTGCTTCCCACAATCAAGCTCATCAGACCAATCAGTTGTAAAGGGCATGAAACTTGTGTTAGACATTATAGTAGCATTTTATATCAAAACTGACTGACTGTCCTCTGTATGAGCATTACACTGATATGATACATTAAAATCGGATAATATCTACTGACACGGCCAATTAATATTCTAGCAGACACAGACTGGTTTGAGCACCTGATGGGTATTCTCTTGGCAGTAACTGAGTGCCTCTTCTTGGTAATTTAAAGTGGCAACAAAAGTGCTGTAGACACTGGATCTATTACAGACATTAAGTATGCTTTTGTAATGGTATCTTCACAACTACAACAACTATGATGGCTGTGTGACTGTGAGAAGAAGCAATGTATTGTGAAGACTAGTTGAGAAAAAGCACAAAAGGAAAACTGTTCAGTGTAATAGTGTGTGACAAGCACTGCTGTGATGGGTACGATGTTACATGTTTCTTACCAGAAATGCACATCATTTATTAAACTGATGCATGCAGCTCAACATATTTCAGTCATTACAAAAATTTGGAGATTGGCCAAGCAGAATATTTAACCTGCTGTTTCACATTAATAACATATTTCAATTCCACATGTATAAAAAAAAAAAAAGGCAAAGCTCAACACATAGAAGTACTCAACAGTAGAAATTTTATGTTATTGTTGTGATTGTTCCTAACCATAGGTAGGTAAAATGTGATTTGTTACAATAAAGTTGCTTCTTTTCATTGGTCTTTGACTTTATTAAACCTCTATATGTATATCTGCTATGTGAATTAAAGCTGCAATATGTACAATAACAAAACACAATTTGATTTAGCAATTTGTTAAGACAACAAAAAAAATGCTCTCACCATATCTGCTGGCGGACGTCCTGGATACCGTAGAGTTATTGACTGCATTGTATTCTGTTACTTGCTTAGACACGAGTGCTACCACTGCACCATCTGGAACCTGAGAAGAAGAAGAATGTAAACATATCACTAACTGTTAATATATATTTTATATGTTAAATCAATTCCAAGATCTGTTTTATCTAACTAATGTGATCATTTTTAAGAACAGTTTTGAATGTGACTAATCATTTTTGACCTATTCATTTATTTTTTAACTTAACTGGGCTTTTGAAGGTAACAGAGATTCACTAGGCTTGACAATCTATAGGAAATAGCTTACTTAATAGGTAGAAGTATACTCTTCACTTTCAGTAGATTTTTATTAGAAAGTTTACAGAGATTTACATTGTAGCAAATATAACACACAACAAGAATATAGTCATGCATTAATAACATCAGTCACAGAGCCAGGGACTTTAATGACAATAGTAGTGAGATGGACTGTTCGCTAACCCTTGAAGCAGTAGATGGACACATGAACTGGATGAGTGCAGCCAGCAATAGACATGTGCGCATTTTCCGAATTTCGAACAATTGGACACATCCGAAATTCCGAATCCCAATGCATCCAAATATGTCCGAATCCAAATTTCTGTTTTTGAATTTCGGATCCCATCCAAATTTCATTCAAAAACAAAACTGAAGACATGTGACTTTTATGGCCAATCAGGTGTGTTTTCGGTTTAATTCATCCGAATAGGTCTGAACATGAACTTTCGTTACGGCAACATGGCAGCCATCTAATTGGCCAGAAAAGTCACATGCCGAAAATTCGTCTTCAGTATATACATATAATCAGGGCTCAAAATTTCAGGTCCTGAGCTACTAGCCAGGCCTTCGAAGTTACTCGCCACCAGTTGCCCTTCATAACACAAACAAACACACACAGGGCACAACGCGCACACAGCACAACACACATACAGCCACAGCACAACGCACAGGACATTACACATACAGCCACAGCACAACGCACAGGACATTACACATACAGCCACAGCACAACGCACAGAGCATTACACATACAGCCACAGCATAACGCACAGAGCATTACACATACACATTTCATCTGAAATACATTTTTAGTATTCGCACATGTCTAATAATATGCATGTGAGAGAGGGGGGGCAGTTTTTACTTTTTTTTTTAAATTATTATTTTTTAAATTTTCATTGTATTATTTATT